CTGCCCGCAGGTGCTCATCGTGCTCATCGCCTCACTTAATCAGGCAGACCGAATCCAAACTTTCTCGTTGCCATGTTGAGGGGAGGCCTTTCTATTTCTCTATTTCTCTATCTCCGGGCATTCCTATTTCTCCCATTTTACTTCTATCTCCCAGCATTCTTATTTCTCTCATTTTATTTCTAAACTTCTATTTCTCTTATCCCTGCAGCTTCCCGCTCTCATTCCATTTCTAAACTTCTGTTTCTCTTATCCCCGCGGCTTCCCGGCGGCGCTCGCCCCGAGGCTGCTTCTCGGCACCTCGCCCCGCGGCAGCTTCACGGCTCTGCACGGCTTCCCGGCGCCTCGCCCCGCCGGCGGGTTCCCGGCTCTGCGCGCCCGCTCCGCGGTCTCCACGCACTTCGCGCCCGCACCACGGCCTCGCGCCAGCGTTCCCTATCTATTCACGCTCCGAGCTCTCTCTGCACGCGGCGGCTTCCGCGAATGTTTCCGCCACCACCGGCATTCAGTCCAAGTTCCCCGGACTAACCTGGCGAATTTCAACCTGGCGGCCCACGTCTCTGCCTCTGGTTCCAGATCTTCGCCTCTTGCTCCCCGGGGTGACTTGAAGAATTCCAAGGTGGCTTATATCTCCGCCTCGGCCTGCACTCGCGGCCTCATCCTCCCCAACATTTCTCTCTACCCGGTATGTTTCCTTAAGTTTTCTTCCAACAATATTCCTCTCATTTCTCCTGGCTACTCCCCACAGTCCGTATCCGAGTCCAAGCCTCCTCCAGGTTTCACTTTCGCTTTCAATCTCCTAGCTTCCCCGCCATAGTCCGCATCTGAGTCTATGAAAGCTTTCACTTTCGCTTTCAATCCTAACTTCTTTCCCACAGTCCATATCCGAGTCTATGCCTAGGCTTTCAATAGCTTCTTCCGGCACCTTTCTCGTCCGGCTTTCCCCTAGGCTCTTCGCTAGTCTCTCTCTCCGGTATTTTCCCAGTTCTTCCCGTTTCTTCTCTCCTAAGTTTCCTATCCGTCCTAAGTTTCCTATCCGAGTCACGGCACCATTATGTCGCTCCCCCTCTTCGTGGAGGAACGACACAGGACCCTGCGCTGTTCTTTCGTCTGCTCGGCCCTCCCCGGGTTTGCTGCTGGTTCTTCCCGGGTTGGCTACTATCCCTTCCACCTCCGTGGAAGGGCAGTTCCCCCTGGCCACATTCCCCACTTCCGCAGGGGAGCGGCACACCGCCGGCCGGTTCTCTCGGGGGCTGCACGGGTTCCCTTAGATGTTCCCCATAGATGTTCCTGGTGCATGCCGTCTCTCTCCTCCTTTATAGTCCTCCTCCGCCAATCCCAATTCGGCTGCCCACACGCCGAGTACGCTGCTCTCCAATCAGGAGCAAGTCCTACAGTTTATTGGTTGAACTGGAGGCAGCTGGGTAGAAGCTGTTTTCTCCTCTCCCAGCGCCATATTGTAGGAGAGCAGATGCATAGAATAAGTCTTAATTCCAGTAACTTAGTCTAGTCCGAGCTGCTCCCCACAGAGGAGAGCAGATGCATAGAATAAGTCTTAATTCCAGTAACTTAGTCTAGTCCGAGCTGCTCCCCACAGTAGGTAGAAAAACATTTATGCAGCCGGCGCCGCGGCTCACTAGGCTAATCCTCCGCCTAGCGGCGCCGGCACACCGGGTTCTAGTCCCGGTCGGGGCGCCGGATTCTGTCCCGGTTGCCCCTCTTCCAGGCCAGCCCTCTGCTGTGGCCAGGGAGTGCAGTGGAGGATGGCCCAGGTGCTTGGGCCCTGCACCCCATGGGAGACCAGGAAAAGCACCTGGCTCCTGGCTCCTGCCATCGGATCAGCGCAGTGACCGGCCGCAGCGCGCCGACCGCGGCAGCCATTGGAGGGTGAACCAACGGCAAAAGGAAGACCTTTCTCTCTGTCTCTCTCTCTCGCTGTCCACTCTGCCTGTCAAAAAAAAAAAAAAAAAAAAAAAAAAAAAAAGAAAAACATTTATGCAACAACAACAACAACAAAAAAAGACTGGAAGTAAAGTCATCAAAATAGTAACAGGCTATCTCCACAATGGTGTTATTAGTGGTTTTATCTCCTTTTCCATGCTATTCCATTTTCACCCCAGATAGATTCACTAGCTTGTTCATGAATGAATGAATGGATTGAATGGAACTACTGTTCAAGCACTTGCTAGCTGCTCGGATTTATCAGCCATCCGATGAAAGGCATAACACACATATGATCTCTGCCCTGAAGAAGTGCTTCTACAATTTAACAAAAAAGTTACTGCCAAAAAGCCAAGACGGAGGGCTGGGCCTTTAGCCTGGTGGTTCAAGCACTGATTAAGACCCCTGCATGCCCTATCAGGTTGCCTGGGTTCACTCTCACCCCTGGTTCAGCTTCACACTAGTTCAGATCCCAGGAGGCAGTGGTGATGGCTCCAGTAGTTGGTTTCTTGCCATCCACGTTGGAGACCTGGATTGGTTTCTTGGCTCTTGGCTCTTGACCTAGTCCAGGCCACTGTGAGCATTAGGGGAGGGAACAAGCAGATAGGAGAGCTCACTTTCCTTTCTCTCTCTCTCTCTCCCTCCCTCCCTCTCCCCCACCTCCCTCCCTTCCTCTCTCCCTGCCCATGTCTTCCTGCCCCCATAAGTAAGGGAAGTTTTCTTTTTAATAGAAACAAGATGGATGGGGTAAGTATTGTGGCTCAGTGGGTTAAGCTGCCTCTTTGAGATGCCTGCATCCTGTACTGGAGGGCTTTGGACCAAGTCCTGCCTCGGTTTCCAATCCAGCTTCCTGCTCATGTGACTAGGAGGCAGCAGATGATGGCCCAAGTCCTTGGATTCCTGCCACCCACAGGAGAGACCAGATGGAGCTGGCCCAGCCCTGGCTATTGTGGACATTTGGAATAGGTGGAAGATACATCCTCCTGCCCCTCCCTCCTTCTCAAATAAAGCTTTAAGAAAAAACCAAGATGGAAATAAGAACACCATCATCACATGTTGGATGACAACCTTTTTTCATGGTCCCTCCCATGGGTGTCTGTAGGGTTAGCTCCATGGGCCAGCAGCTTGGGGTCATGAATGAAGGGTGCTGAGGACTGCCCCTCAGTGAAGGCCCACTTGTCATTCCTGCCCACGGCAAGGTGCTGGGACAAGCACTCTTTCCTGTCAGCCACATGGAAGCCCCGGCGTCTACCACCCTAACACCTTGGAGCAGAAAGCTCTGTCCCATCAGCATCTAAAATTCAATTCCCACCTCCCTGCATGCTTACTGGCATCTCATTCCCTGGCCTCCCAGGGGTACTTTGCAGAGTTTCTGGCCTGGGAATAAGCCCTCAGGGATTCCAGGCAGAAGCGCCTCCTCCCCACCCATCTGCAGCTTCCCTCCCTGCTTCCCAACTGGTACCCAAAGCCTGGGCTTGTGATTCTCCTGCAAACCATCAGCCTGAGCCAATGGGAAAACAGCAGGAGCCCCAGGACTCCTGCAAGCTAAGAGTGATTGTTTTCATGCAAATTGTTTTTCGTAGTAGGGAGATAACAGGCAAATGAAATATGGGAGATTGGCAGAGATTTTTCTAAACCAATGATGGGGGCGGGGGAGCTCTTTAATAAAACCTCAGCGTGTCTTTAACAGTTCAGCCATAAAGTTGCTGTGTTTCTTATCAAGCAGATTAGAATTTCTCTCTATTGAGGCTCTTCTTCCTCCTCCTCTCCCGACACAGCACAATCGATGTCTCTTTCTGCTTCTCCAATATTCCATCTTAGCCTTGACCGACAGGCCCCATTCAGAAACACCCTGCTTCCCGATGATAAAAAGTCTATCAAGCTGAAGTGGTAGGTGAATGAGCAATAGTAATTGTAGTATAGTAGTTGTCTATTTATCTTAATACACTTGGGGAAAACTGTCTAACGTATCATACCCATGACTGTGTTAGAGCTATGGCAGCCTCAGCTTTCATTTTTTTTTTAAAGATTTATTTATTTATTTGAAATGCAGAGTGACAGAGGGAGCTTAGAGAGAGAGAGAGAGATCTTTACTCCCCAAATGGCCACACAACAGCCTGTCTGGGCCAGGCTGAAGCCAGGAATCAGGAACTCCATCCAGGTCTCCCAATTGAGTATCAGGGGCCCAAGGACTTGGGCCATCTTCTGCTGCCTTCCCAGGTGCATTAGCAGGGAGCTGCATTGGAAGTGGAGCAGCAGAATTCCAGTCAGCACTCTGATATGCCTGCTGATGTTGCAGGCAGCGACTTAACCCACTGCACCGCAATGCCAGCCCCTTTAAAAGTAAATTATAGAGAGCCAAAAGAAAAAAAAAATTATTAAATCAATCATGATAAGCATGGTGTGCAAATGTGGTTTTAAAAAACCGTGTGAAGTGGTGCATACATGTATGATGTTAGGAAATACAAGTAAGAATCCTGCAGCAAATCAACTCGGCTCCCTGGGATGGGCCGGGAAGATCAGCTGGCCTGTCGCAGTAACTGAGAAGCAGATATTTGCACTGAAGTCTGCATCGTCAATAAGCCTTTATGGTTCTGAATCCTGGAAGCCGCCAAAGTCTAAGATCTGAGTTCCAGAGCTGCTAGGCCTGGAGAGGCACGGGTGCCTTTGTTTTAAACACCAGGAGATTCCACATGAAATCACAGATTTTCCTGTTGTCTTTAGAGATTGGAAGATTCAGCGACCGGGTCCACAGCCCTGCATGGTGATAACCAGGCGGCCCCGGGGCACCAGGAGTTGTGGTTTTCTGACCCGAGGCCCTGCCCCTGCTTCTGGGACTCGGGCTGCCCGTGGGAAAGCATGGACGGAAGCCTGTGCTTCCCCGTGGTCCCCCATCCCCTGCTGCTCTGCCTTTCCTCTCTCTCTCCCCTGCCATCCCTCCCCACCCTAACACACTCGCACACACTCACGGATGCCTCCTGGAGCTAAGGACAGAAAGGCTCCCAGCATTCCCGTGCGGGATGTGATGACATCATAAAGAGCAGCGTGATACAGAGGGAACAGACACGCTGGGGAGCCCAGCAGCTGCATACAAGTTCCGGTAATCTCTGTTTCTGGCTGTGTGGTCTTGGGCAAGTCCACCCCCAAGATGGCATGGAGTGGCACTTTCCAGAACATTCTGTGGGGAGAGGAACGCCTTCCATTAGCACTGGCCAGAATGGCGGCCACTCACCATGTGCAGCTGTTGAGCATGGTAAATGTGAGGAGCTCCCTTGCAGATTGCATTCTGTTTAATTTACATGAAGTAGTCCCAGGCGGTTAAGGGGACTGTTCTGGGCAGTTCAGGGCCCTCTCCCCATCCTTCGGGACCTCCCGTTATGTCTGAAGCCCCAGGATCTGCCACCAGCCTCGTCCACCATGCTTCTTGAGACCTGGGACCCCTGACTTTCTCTCCTTTCTTCAGCTCCCTGGAGTTTTCTGACTTGGGTGGTTAAAGGGAAGGAAAGCAAGGCTTCCTGAATATTCCACCAGCAGGGATGGGCCAGAGGTTAAGCCTCAGAAACCAGTTATTTAGTGACGCTTAGGACAGCTACAATGCACACATCCCATTCAGAATCGATAAATCCAATGGTGCTAGGCATAGGAATGGCAATAATACATTTTACTCATAAATGTGGGCAGATGCAATAGCACCATGCATCCTGCCTATAAAACAAACAAGCAAGAACTCAACCCCCCATTTTAATACTAAGAAAGCCCAAACTCAGTGAGGTAATAGGATCCTGTAGCGGTCATGAGAGAGCAGAGACCTGAGCCAAGTGTGCTACCTCCGGACTCCCGGTCTTTGCAATACTTGAAGCGGCCCTGACTGGTTGTGGACGCGACCAAGGAGAGCAGGATCATCCTCCCCCAACACAGCAACCACGTCTGAAACGCGGCTCTGGTCCTGCAGCCCCGTAGACAGCTCCAGGATTTGGCTACGCCGTGCGTTAGCTCATTCTCAAGCACTGGGGAGGCCAGGACGGGCACAGGGAGTGCAGGTAGCATCTGTGTCCCCTCGCTCTAACAGGGTGGCCTGCTCCTTCTGGCGTCCTGCCTATATCCTCAGCGGTCTAGTGGTGGTTTCCTTCTAGTGGGACCTCCGCCCTGTGCACAGCTCCAGAGGCTGCCTGCTTCCATGGCACGTGTGCGGCGTCAGTACTTTCCTGGACTTTGTTTCTAAGTTGAACAAGCTGGCCAGCTTCTTTTATGCTTCAGTTGCTTTCATTTCCATATTATTTTCCTACGTTTTCTGCGGAAGCACATGTCCGGCTAAGGGTTGTCAACCTTGGCTGCTTATCTGAATTTGGGGTGCTTTTTTTTCCCAAATGCACAGGCCAGGGGCAGGTGCTGTGGCACAGCTGACTTAGCAGCTGCTGAGACACCCACATCCTGTACTGGAGTGTCTCGGTTAGAGTCCTGGATGCTCTGGGCTTCTGATCCAGCCTCCTGAGGCAGATGCTGGTCCAGGTACTTGGGGTCCAGCCACCCACGTGGGAGGCCTGTATGGAATGGCTTGCTCCTGGCTTTAGCCTGGCCCAACCTTGGCTATTGTGGGTACTTGGGAAGTGAACTAGCAATAGCAAATGAAAGAGTGTTCTCTCTCGCGCGCGCACGTGTGCACTCTCTCTCTCACACACACACACAAACACACACACATCATTCTGCCTTTCAGAAGAATAGATAACTCTTTAAAACAATTCACTGTCCAGTTCCCATCCTTAGCAAAACTGAAGTTGGGCCTGGGCATCTGCACTTCTCAAGGTTCCCCCAGACCATCCCGGGGCTGAGACCTGAGGCTCACGGGGCGCTGGACCGGGACTTGAGCGATGCTTGCACCCAGCGTCCTGCCCTTTCCCCACGCGCCAGCCTCCCTGAACCTATTACCTTGTCGGAGGATGGAGAGAGGGGAGGCCTGCCCGACTCTTGTGAGGACGAAGCGTGCGGGGTGGTGTGAAAGGATTCGGAAAAGCAACCTGCGTGTGTCTAGGAGGAGGGGGAGCTGGCCGGCGGTCAGGCCAGACAGGCCGTACCTGCAGAGAGGCCCAGGCTTCCGCTTTTGGGTGACATCTTCACACAGGCTCCCGTGGTCTGCCCACCTCCATCTCACTGTGCTAAAAATGGAACGAGAGTAGGTGGAGCTCAGAATACTTTAACTCAAGTGTAATAGCGTGGGCTGATCGGCTGCCACGTAGCTGGGTGGTTCTGGACACATGGGAGCCGGCTGTGTGCTGCTGTACTCATGTCCAGAATAGCCCATGAGATTCCCAGCCTCCAGGGATTTTCGGACATTCCCCTCGGTTTTACCTGGTTTGAGACTTGGAGGCCATGGGATTAGAACACCCCAGGCACGAATCAGGAGCCAGTACTCATGAGAAACACCCAATGCAGGAAAGATACTACCTGACTTCCAGTTTCAAGCAATGCATGCCTACACACACATATGCACATACACATGCATAGACACATACATACGCACACACACATACACACAGGCACATACACACACAATTAGCTGTCCTGAATTAAGCTACTGTGGAGCCCCAGCCATATGCAAATTACAGACTTACACAAATATTCCTCGATGCTGACAGTACTTCCTTTGGAAACCTCTTGGTTTTACCTCTCTGCCAAACAGAGGTTTCATTTGTGTTCATGACGTCTTGTTCACTAAGTGCATCACAAGCTGACCGTAGCAGTAAGGGTGCATTAAGGAGCATGATTTTGCAAAGGGTCAGTAAGGACACTGGGGCAAGGAAGATGAGCGTTTTATTATTGTTATTTATTTGAAAGAGAGAGAAAAGTCTTCCATCTGCTGGTTCACTCCCCAAATGGCAGCAACAGCCAGGGCAGGGCCAGACCATAGCCAGGAGCTTCTTCTGGGGTTCCCATTTGGGTGCAGGGCCCCAAGGACCTGGGCCATCCACCACTGCTTTCCCAGGCGTATTAGCAGGGAGCTGGATTGGAAGTGGAGCAGCCGGGGCTTGAACCAGTATCCACGTGGGATACCAGTGTTGCAGGCAGCAGCTTAACTGGCTATGCCACAGAGCTGGCCTCAGGAAGCTCAGTTTTTTGTTTTTGTTTTTTAATTTGAAAGGCAGAGTTACAGAGAGGCAGAGGCAGAGAGAGAGAGAGAGACAGGGAGAGAGAGAGAGAGAGAGAGTCTTACATCTGCTCGTTCACTCCCCAGATGGCCGCAACAGCCGGAGCTACACCAGTCCGAAGCCAGGAACCGGGAGCTTCTTCCAGGTCTCCCACGCAGGTGCAGGGGCCCAAGGACTTGGGCCATCTTCTACTGCTTTCCCAGGCCATAGCAGAGAGCTGGATTGGAAGTGGTGCAGCTGGGACTCGAAACAGCATCCATATGGGATGCTGGTACTGCAAGCAGTGGCTTTACTCTCTACACCACAGCACTGGCTCCAAAGCTGAGCTTTTGACAGCCATGATACAACTGTTATGAACTTCTTATGCAGAAAATTTGAATTTTATTCTCTAAGACAGGCATTCTCAAACTAGAGCTCCTACCAAAATTACTCTGAAATAGAAGGCTACCATCCCAGAACTAGAGAACCAGAAGCTATTAAGTATGGGGGGGGGGGGGCGGCACATTTTTAACAAAGTTTAGAATCACTGCCCAGAGGCCAGCACATGGCACTGCAGGTCAAGCTGCTGCTTACGATCCGGCTTCCCATACATGGGGCTCCAGTTCAAGTCCCAGCTGCTCCATTTCTGACCCAGCTCCCTGCTGACACTCCTGGAAAAGCAGCGGAAGATGGCCCAAGTCCTGGGGCCTCTGTTATCCTTGTTGGAGATCCAGGTGGAGCTCCTGACTCCTGGCTTTGGCCTGGTCCAGCCCTGGCTGTTGTGGCCATTTGGGGAGTGAACTAGAAGTGGTTGGAAGATCTAACTTGTTCTATCTCGCCTTCTCTCCCTCTCTCTGTGTCTGTCACTCTGCCTTTTAAATAAATTAAATAAATCATAAAAAAAATAAAATGAAATCGATGTCCAGAGGATCGTCTTAAGAGATGGGCCCCTGCCGGCGCCGCGGCTCACTAGGCTAATCCTCCGCCTAGCGGCGCCGGCACACCGGGTTCTAGTCCCGGTTGGGGCGCCGGATTCTGTCCCGGTTGCCCCTCTTCCAGGCCAGCTCTCTGCTGTGGCCAGGGAGTGCAGTGGAGGATGGCCCAGGTGCTTGGGCCCTGCACCCCATAGGAGACCAGGAGAAGCACCTGGCTCCTGCCATCGGATCAGCGCGGTGCGCCGGCCGCAGCGCGCCAACCACGGCGGCCATTGGAGGGTGAACCAACGGCAAAGGAAGACCTTTCTCTCTGTCTCTCTCTCTCACTGTCCACTCTGCCTGTCAAAAAAAAAAAAAAAAAAAAAGATGGGCCCCTGGAGGGAACTGCTCAGTAGCACCTCAGTGTAGCTGAGTGCCCCAACCATGGAAACTTTTGATTTCCTCCTGAGCTCCCCTGCAATTCTTTATCATACAGACGCTCCCTGAAAGGGACCCTGAGAACATGTCTTTGTTTTCTTGCTAGGTCAAAGGTCGGGTGCCGTTGAAGTATGTTAGAACTTTGGATTTCTGCCAGCTCCCAATACAGTTGTGCTAATTGGGCACTGCACAAGAGGACTACAACTAAAATACTGCCATTTAGAGTAAACACAGTTGATTTGTGAGTTTATTATGACAGTTTTCTGGCAGATGGCAGTAATGTCTCTTACTCCAACAAATCTGTCCATGACAACGATTTTCCAACGGGTGCCAGCGAGTATCTTGAAGAAGGTGCAAGAGTGACCTTCTATAATACACAACAGAATTGCAGCCCGGTTCCAGTTCCTCTCCACTGAGCTCTTCCCCGCACACCCCTGGCCTGGGGAAAGATTCTTGTGCCAGAGAGAGGGCAGAGGGAGTCCCAGCGCGCCCCCCTTCCCCCAGCCCTCCCTGCTAGGCAGCCTCCCTGTGCTGGGAGAGCTGTCACAGAAGAGGGAGAGCCCACAGCCCGGCGTTTCCCACGTACCAGCCCGCCTGAGCCTGCTTCCTCTTCTCTGAAACGGAGCGTGCTGAGGCCTGCCCTACTTCTGTAGAAGCAGCTTGAAGCTGGAGAGCGTGTGTGAAAGGATGTTGAAAAGTCCCCCGTGTGTGTGTGTGTGTGTGTGTGTGTACACGCTGGGAGCGAGGCCAGGGCCTGGGCTTCAGTGACTCCGTGGCATCTCCACGTGGCGCTGGCCGTCTTCAGGTTGCTGTGCAGGTGGGCCCGGCCTGCTTCTCCCATAAGCACAGAAAATGTCACCTCCTCTCTTTGTGCTGCCCCCACGAACGCTGGGGGGAGCTGTGTTAGGATTCCTTTTTCATTTTTTTTTCTTTCTTCCATATCTGATCTTGAATGAAAACCCAGGGCATCCCTCTCTTTTGCCCTGGGTGCTGCACCTGTTCCAGGTCTCAGGGTTCTGTTGATTCCCCCGCCCTCTGAGGTCTGGGGTATGTACTTCCGGCCTCCCCAGGAAGTCTCAAGAAAGAAGTGTTTCCCAGCAAAGGGGCAGTGGGCTCTGAAATTCTCTTTTCTTCCCCTCCGTTTCCACACCTCCACGGCTGTCAGGGCCACCTCCCCCTCCATCTTCACCCCGATCAAAATGAGGAAGGACACGTGACATAGGACTGACCTGCAGTTCTCAGGAGGTGAGACCCCCTCCCAGCCTGTAGGATCCTTGATGAAGTCGTGAGAGGACATCCAGTGAGAGCGTGGTCTGCTAGGGTGGTGGCACTTTTCACAGAGGTGCCGTGCTGTCAGAGGCATGCATCTCATAGCCAAGGGAGTGCCCTGCTGGCTGGAAGTGAGCTTGTCTGTAACAGGAATCCTGATATGTTCCGTTATCCCATTGGCTTATAGCAGGTGCACATTTGCTCCATGCCAGGCTCTGTGCCAGGAGTGCAAGGGAGTAGGCGCACAGAAGCAGTGGCCGGCCTGGCGGTGCAGCCACTCCCCAGGCAGGTAGGCAGGTGCATGTGCAAAGGCTTGTGGTTCTAGGGGAGAGCAGCACTGCGCCGAAAGAGTAAAGGAGAGGGGGGCGCTCCTTCATTCTGCGCGTGAGGGAAACGTGCCGGAGCAGGACTTCTCTGTGGGGACCTCCAGGACGAGAGGGGCCAGCTGCACGCAGCGCTGGGGAAGTGTATTTCACACAGCTGAACCCATCAGACAAAGGCTGGGATTGGAAAACTCCAGAACGTGAGTTTTCCCTCTTCTTTTGCCCAACTCCAAAGGTTTCTCTTTGCCCTGGCTCCTTTGTCGCTTCCGCTAGTGAAGTCTGAGACGCACGGAGCACCCGACCTGGCGGGTAGGATCACTTGCACGCACACCAGGTGCCAGGCTACATGCTGTGTGCGTGGATCCCTTTCAACCTCCCAATCACCCCCACGCGGGAGACGCTCTCGTGTCTCCGTCTCACAGAGCAGGAAGCGACACGAGACAGCAGGCTGTAAGGGTCGCTGGTATCAAGATGAGCGCTTTGTTCAGCAGTCGCTTGTCCAGCATTTTCAGGCTTCTGGCGGCCTCGATTTTGTTCACGTCTGGCCTCTTCACAGCCCGTGGAGAGTCTCATCATTACACGCTCTTCTTGTGTGCAATTTGCACATTTTAAAAGCTTCGGGTTTGAAGCCATCGTTCACGTCATTAGTGAAAAATGTTGAACGCTGCCGACCAGGTTCGCAGCAAAATCATTTGTTGAATCCTCCCTACCCAGCAACAAGCCTTTGACTTCTGTTCAATCCAGCCAGTGTTTGTTGAGAAAGCTACTCGTGGCCCAGCGTGGCCGGGGAGCAGCCAGGACCGGCTCCAGAAATCCCAAATCAGGGGCAACAGCACTCTAGTGGCTGTAGTGGGATGGGGTGGGTGTTCTGCTTGTCTTGTAACAGAAATGCAAGTACAGATGCTGTAAAACCGGGTTCGGCCACCCGCAAAGTGTGTGCTCACCTTCCTTCACGTTTTTGTTTTATAAATAATAAATGGATAATTAGGTCAACAACCCTTTCGATACAAGGTTGCAACAACTCCCTACTTTGGAAAATCACCTGTTTTATTCCTAATCCCCAACTGTTTAGATGTAGATTTTTCTATTGTCCAATAGATTTCTGCAGTTATTTAGAAAAAAAAATTTTGCACATAGAGTAGCAAATCTTTAAAGGCACATCTAATAAACTAAGTGGTAATTGCTGGAGGGGCCTTGGTGCCTGGCAAGCTTATTTCTAAATTGAAAAGGAGCTTCAGTTTTGCAACAATGAAATGGTGCTCCCTCCTTCCCAGCGCCTCCCCTTGCGCCTGGGCACCTCCTCAGTGAGGCAAGGACTCAAACAAAGAGCTAAGGGCCACCGATGCCACGCCCCTGGGCAAAGGGGCCCAGGTCATTATTATCACAATGTTGCATTTATTTGATTTTTATTTACCTATTTTCATTGTATTTGAAAAGCAGAGAGAGAGAGGGCGAGAATCTTCCACCCTCTGGCTCACTCTCTGGATTTCTGCAACAAGACGTTGGCTAAGTCTGGAGCAGGGAACTCAGTGTGGCTCTCCCGTGCGGGTGGCATCACCTGTGCCAGCACTTGAACCCGGGGGCTCTGGCATGGGTGCAGGCCCTCCAAGCAGCACGCTAATCCCTGTGCCAAACAGCTGCCCTTGTCTTTTTTTTTTTTAAGGCAGAAATTTACAGGAGTTCCTTATTCACACGTATATATTTTCTCTGAAAGGCAGGGTGACAGAAAGGAAGTGACAGCTCTGCCATCCGCTGCTTCACTCCCCCAGTTGGCCACAACAGCAGAGAGTGATGTTATGCAATGAGCAAACAGCTTCTCTGGGCGGAGAGTTTCAATTTCTTCTTCCGGAATCATTTGCTGTCTCTGAAATCTCGTCTCATGAAGCAGGAACACCACGAGAGGACGTAAGGCATCCAGCGACTCCTAAGTCAGCACGAAACCCGATGACGAGTGTGGGACCCACGGTCCAGGGAGGTTAATGGGCGTCAAGTCCATGACGGTCTGTTCCAGCCAGCAGCCTCATGGGGCTCGTGCACTCTTCCCCTTGTTGAACTTAGCTAAGAACAAACCAGGGTGCATCAACAATTCCATGGAAAATAGAATGGAGAAGTTAATTTCGGTGCTAAAAAAAAAAATCTTGAAATCCATATGGACGAGTACTTTTCTAAGAAGCAGAAATATTGTGGCGTAATTACATAAAAAGATGAGAAATGACATCCCAGACCTTGTGCCTGTGTTGTCAGGCAGACGGGCGCTGCTGGCTCTCAGCCTGGTCACCGAGAGGCGGAGGGACCTCAGCACAGCAAATTGAGACCTGGGTCTGTGAACTCGGATGGCCAAATAAAATTACAGCTTTATTTTCTCTGACCTCTTTAACATGTATTGCCATTAACAAATCTAGGCAGCAAACCAGAATGGTATTTGGAGCTTCTGTGACTTTGTCACCAAGAGAAATCACAGATCTTTTCAGATCACATGACAGTTGCTGCAGACATCGCAAAGGATACTTCTTAGTACTTCAGATGAGGATTAGAGGTACTGCCACGTCGTGTCATTCATACTGCTGTTAAAGATGCATGTTATTATGCATTGAAAAAATGCTTTTGGGGGGGCCGGCACCGCGGCTCAATAGGCTAATCCTCCACCTAGGGGCGCTGGCACACTGGGTTCTAGTCCCGGTCGTGGCGCCGGATTCTGTCCTGATTGCCCCTCTTCCAGGCCAGCTCTCTGCTGTGGCCAGGGAGTGCAGTGGAGGATGGCCCAAGTGCTTGGGCTCTGCACCCCATGGGAGACCAGGAGAAGCACCTGGCTCCTGCATAAGAATCAGCATAGCTCTGGCAGTTGCAGCCATCTGGGGGAGTGAACCAGCAGATGGAAGACCTCTCTCTGTCACTCTGCCTCTGCCTCTCTGTAACTCTGCTTTTCAGATAAGTAAATAGATCTTTAAAAAATTCTTTTGTAGCTGTGTTTCACCATAGTTGGCTTCCTTTGTGATCCTATGTATTTTATTCTAATATTCTAATATTATAATTAGAATAATATAAGAATTATAATCATAATATTCTAATATATTATATAATATATTATATAATATATTATATTATATAATATAATATATAATTATAATATTCTAATTATTTGTCTGTTTTACTTGAAAGGCAGAGAAACAGAGACCTCCCACCTGCTGATTTCACTCCCTAAAGCCAGCAACAGCCAAGGTGGGGGCCAGACTGAAGATGGGAGCCAGAAACTGCAGGTCTCCCACATGGACAGCAGGGACACCTGCTGTCTCCCAGGGTGCACATTGGCAGGAAGCTGGAATCGGGCAGAGCCGGGACTCCAATCCAGACACTCTGATATGGGATACTGGTGCCCCAAGCAGCAGGATCTGAACCGCGCCTAATTCCTGCCCCTGGTGGATGCATCATAGCACATCAGGACATTTGTGCATCCTGACACGTTCTGGAAAGAGTGCCTAGATTTCATCAGGGTATCAAGAAGGGTGCAGGGGCTTAAGTGCGCCTTAGGATGCTCTCCATATTGCTTCCATCCCCTGCTTTCACAGAATTTCAGTATTGCTCCACTGCAAAAACATCGCCTCCACATAGCCATGGGCCTAGGAAATCATCCACTTAG